TACTGTGTGTGTATATATATATATATATATATGTATGTATGTATGTGTGTGTGTATATATATATATATATATGTGTGTGTGTGTGTGTGTGTGTGTGTATGTATAAATGCACACACACAAACTTTATTTATTTTATCCATGTTCCTTTTGCAGTTCTTTCAATGGAAGACTCTACGTAAGCATCTAGTAAAACATCATCCTCATGGATCTCTATAGACCTTCATTGTTGATGTGGACAAAAGCAGCAGAGCATCTAGATTGCGGATCAGAGCTTCAGTAGAGGTGGGCAGCAGTCGGAGGAGAACTTGCAGCAGGGAATGCCGGGAGGAGACAGCTTTCCCGATGGAGAAGAGGAGAACTCTTCTCCAGGCTCCAGCAAGCGTGCAGGGCAGACGAACCAAACTAACAGCGGGCAGGACCCCGGGACCAGCGGATCCGGATCAGGTGAGGAGGAGGAGGCTGAGGAGCAGCGAGGAAGAACCAGCAGAGGGGAAAGCTCAGCGGGGTGTGAGGAGAGCCGAGGAGAGCAGACGCACGAGGATGTGGACATGAACAGTGGCCACGACTCCAGCAGCGGAAACGACAGCGTCGGTGGGTCACGACATCATCACTCCTCAGCCAATTGCAGCCCTGGAAGCACCACGGGATCAGGAAGCACCAAGAGGTTCAACAATCACTATTATTAATGCTCATGCTGAGGGTTTGTGATTTGAATAAACCCCTAATCGTGAGTAGTCTACTTTAACAAGTCCATTTGAGTGTTTTCTTTCTTCCTGATTAAAAAGTTTTAAGAAATCTTTGAAAGCGCAGTTCTAATTGAAACTGTCTTCTAGACCAGCTGTATGCATTTTGTGTATAAAATCAAGTCAAGTTCTTCTTCATCTCTGTGTCTTCAGCTCAAAATCTGCCACTGGTTCGTCATCGTCCAGCTTTCATAGCGCTCATCACACGGAGTGCAGGTAAACTAACCCACCTCAAACCGTCACAACCACATATTTGCATTAGAACTGAAATTTTGCGGTAACGAAACTCCATTTGTATTGGCAGATATGCATTAATGTCATGGATCATACAGTGCTCTTAAAACGTATCTGAACACTTAAAAATGTTGTTGTATTAGATACAAAATGGATAGCAAAGTGTTATTTATTGTAAAGAAAGATGCATGCAAAACACACCAAAAAAAAATTTTCAATTGTAAAGGATGAAACTATCTAGTGTTGAAATCAAATGTTAATGTAACTATTTTCATTATGTGTATAAAAGTCCCTTCACTTTTCAAATAATTTCTACACCCATATATAGTTATTATAATTATGGAAGCCCAATTCTGCCACATAAGAAAACAAAACCCTGCTTTGTTTAACCAATACAGTGGTGTGAAAAAGTGTTGGCCCCCTTCCTGATTTCTTATTTTTTTGCATGTTTGTCTCACTTTAATGTTTCAGATCATCAAACAAATTTAAATATTACACAAAGATAATGCAAGTAAATACAAAATGCAGTTTTTAAATGATGATTTCATTTATTAAGGGAAAAAAGCTGTCCAAACCTACGTGGCCCTACGTGAAAAATTATCCTTTAAACTATCCTCCTGTTAAATCATGAAAGAACTGCAATTAACCACATTATTTTAGAAAGCTGAGTTAAATTTCACTAGCCACACCCAGGCCTGATTACTGCCAGACCTGTTGAATCAAGAAATCACTTAAATAGAACCTGTCTGACAAAGTGAAGCATGCTTAAAGAGCAACACATCATGCCGCGATCTAAAGAAATTCAAGAACAGATGAGAATCAAAACAGTTGACATCTATCAGTCTGGAAAGGATTATAAAGCCATTTCTAAGGCTTTGGGACTCCAGCGAACCACGGTCAGAGCCATTCTCCACAAATTGAGAAAACTTGGAGCAATGGTGAACCTTCCCAGGAGTTGCCGGCCAACCAAAATTACTCCAAGAGCACAACGACGACTCATCCAGGAGGTCATAAAAGAAACCAGAACAGCATCTAAAGAACTGCAGGCCTCACTTGCCTCAATTAAGATCAGTGTTCATGATTCAACAATAAGAAAGAGACTAGGCAAAAACGGCATCCATGGGAGAGTTCCAAGGAAAAAGCCACTGCTGACCAAAAAGAACACAAAGACT